GCCAAGTTGCCCAGGCGGGTCTCAAACCCGCAGGCTCCGGCAATCCACTCACCTCAGCCTTCCAAGGCGCGGGATTACAGGCTGAGCCACCGAGCCCGGCTGAGACACCCATCTTTACCAAAAATTTTTAAAAATTAGCCAGGCATGATGGCACACGCCTGTCATCCCAGGTACTCGGGAGACTGAGGCAGGAGGATCTCTTGAGCTTTGGACCTGCCGGGAGCTAAAATAATACTGCCTCCCAGAATCTCAGTGTACCCATCTGCAGAGGGTAGAATCCAGGGGTGCTCCATCTGCCTGTAATCGCCACAGAAAGGGTAACGTCTTCTTCTCTTGCCATGTTTCCATTGCTGGAGCTCTGCGGAGAGCCACCATCAAGAAGAGCAAGACAGACCTGCTCCACCCAGAGGAGGCCGAGGATCAGCTGGCCGACATCGCCTCCGTGGGTGAGTCACTGCCAGGGGATGCCGGAGGCTCGCAGCCCGGGCTGCTGGATTTGGGCCTCAGCCCCACCCCTCACGCCTGCCTGTGTCTTGGGACAGGTGACACCATCCAGGGTCCACACCCGCCCCGTCTTCTCAGTCCCCGGATGGGCATTGAGACTCGACACCCAGCGATGCTGGATAATGCCTGTGGCTCACTCGGAGAGTGTTCATGGGGACCTGCTCTCATAAGACCACCAACCCCCGCCACCGCCTTTGTGACAGAGACAGAATCCCGCCCCATGCAGGGCTCATGGTCCACACAGAGAAACAGATGGTAAACAGAGTCACCAGACTGGGCGCGGGGGCTCATGCCTGTAATCTCAGCACTTTGAGAGGCTGAGGTGGGAGGATCGCTTGAGGCAGGGAGTTTGAGACCAGCCTGGGCATCATAGCAAGACCTCATCTCTACAAAACCTCAAAAAATGAATCTGGGCGTGGTGGTGCATGCCTATAGTTCCACCTACTTAGGGGGCCGAAGTGGGAGGATTGCTTGAGCCCAGGTGGTTGAGGCTGTGATGAGCCATGATCATGCCCGCTGCACTCCAGCCTGGGTGACAGAGTAAGACCCCAACTCAAATAGATAAATAAATAAACAGACATGTGCCGGGCTTGGTGGCTCAGCCTGTAATCCTGCGCCTTTGGGAGGCTGAGGTGAGTGGATTGCCTGAGCCCGC